CCTTCACTCAGGTGTCATCTAAAAATCCAAACATTAAAAGACCTTCACTCAGGTGAATCATCTAAAAATCCAAATTAAAAGACCTTCACTCAGGTGAATCATCTAAAAATCCAAATTAAAAGACCTTCACTCAGGTGAATCATCTAAAAATCCAAATTAAAAGACCTTCACTCAGGTGAATCATCTAAAAATCCAAATTAAAAGACCTTCACTCAGGTGAATCCTTCACTCAGGTGAATCATCTAAAAATCCAAATTAAAAGACCTTCACTCAGGTGAATCATCTAAAAATCCAAATTAAAAGACCTTCACTCAGGTGAATCATCTAAAAATCCAAATTAAAAGACCTTCACTCAGGTGAATCATCTAAAAATCCAAATTAAAAGACCTTCACTCAGGTGAATCATCTAAAAATCCAAATTAAAAGACCTTCACTCAGGTGAATCATCTAAAAATCCAAATTAAAAGACCTTCACTCAGGTGAATCATCTAAAAATCCAAATTAAAAGACCTTCACTCAGGTGAATCATCTAAAAATCCAAGATCATCCATTCACCGTCACCCCAAGTAATCCCAAAATCCATTGATCCATGAAGATCATCCAAAACGCCTCGACGTTCGCCACCGAGACGTAGTCCTCCAGCCGCCCCGCTTCGATCGCCAGGATGTGTTGCCTCAAGCCGTCGAAGCGTTGTGCCAAGGCACCCAGGGCCGTGGTGCGGCTGCTCCTGGGCCAGGGATGGGCTTCGGGGACCAAAGATATCTAGGTTTTTTTTATGATTTTTTGATGTGTTTCAATATGATTTCAGATCTTAGGCTAGCACCTGCAGGGTTTAGGGTTCCGAAGTGATCTTTCATGATCCTTCTATTGGGTTGGGGAAAACATGTTTATTGGGCCATGTGTGAACTGGCTTTCTAAACAGATATTCATATATTCTTTGGATCTATGTCATAGTCTATATCTATGTCTCTATATCTATCATCTATAGCAGGGTTGTAAATGACATTTGCACATGGGCGATTGGGCCATCTGCACCCATCTCCGCCATGATTCATGAAGAACACATTAATCGGAATGCAGGCTTAAGTGGGGATTCACACCAGCCGGAGAGGGGATTTGAGCCATCCAAAAATATCAAAAATATGGGCGTCGTCATTCGCAAACGTTGTGCATGCGATATGACCAAGAATGGGAAAGCTTTGCAGAGATTTATGAGATTTGGGATATGGAAAGATGTTTTAACTTATAAACGTGGTGAGAAATATTTGTGGTGGTAAAGGGTTGCGGCCACAAAGCTTACCAAGCGAAGATATGGATATCACTGTCACAAATATGGATCACCAATTCACCAATATTCATGATAAAGAATGATAAAGCATCAACTATTCCATGGGAAAACTTGTGAAATGTCTATTTCGGTGGATGAGATTCCCCAAATAGGTAGCTTGCGCCCTAAAATCCCGCTGTTTCAAGCCGTCCACCAAGTGCGGTCATGTCACCAACCATGGGTTGGGTGTCGCAGGAAGAACATGGAGTTTTAGGTTACAGTGTGGTTGGTATGCGGTACCCTCTGGTAAACTATCAGTTACAGTAGCTATTGAAAATCACCATTCTTAATGGGAAAATTCACTATAACTGGGGTATTTTCAATAGCTATGTGAAATTACCAGAGGGTATGACCCATGAAAAATGGAAACAGCTGCTTCAGAGCCATCGTTAGTTTCCTTTGCTGCACATGAGATGCCACCGCAACAACTTGCTTTCATCAATAGCGACGATAGGCGCGAAGAAATATAGGATGCTCAGCAACAAGAACGGTGATATTGTCGGCAACTATGAAGGTAAGTGGATTGATGTGGATTATATTGATGGTGAACTATTGATGATCATGGATGATGCCAGAAGGGAATCGAGATAAACCCACCTACAGTAGTTACTGTACCAGCTTCTAGCCGGGCATTAGGTGCCCGTCTTGACTTTCACATGACATACTCAACGCGCAGAGGGTCGTGGAGGCTTAACTGCATTTGTTGCCCGTCTTGGGCTATGGCATCTATGGCGTTAAAGGTCAACAGATGGTCAACTCTGATCCCCATTGATCCCCTGATTTTTTCCAGGGTTCAGCATGTCTGCCATCGGCAGGTCTGCAAACTTCGAGACCAAGTAGAAGCACGTGTCGCCAAAGCAGAAGGGCAGATCCGTCAGGTCGGCGCGGTAAAACTCCACCTCCACCGTCCTGAGGCAGGAGCATATGGAGCATTCATCGTCAACACATGGTCCATACAGTTACAATAGGGTCCGTAACATGTTATCATTTCATACCATAAGAACCCATAAGATACATTAAGATACCATAAGTTCATATATGTTATGAAAATTTATGAAATAAGTTCCATGGTCAAAACACCAAACGTATGGATACGTATGGAACCTGGTCGTGCAACCACCCCCATCTGGGCCTCTTCTATGAGTCCGACTAGAGCATACTAAAGTTACTAAAGCGAAGTCACACGAATCTCAGATACCCTTCCCCCTAACAAAAAAAGCTATAAAACGCTAGAAATGTCTTGTTTAGCAGTGCACCTTCGTATGGCAATAGGCTCAGTTCGTCACCTAAAGGTTGACCCATTCGGCCAAAAGTCTTCTTTTTCGAACCCATCTTCTTTTGCAGCAGCAGCCGGGGGCGATCATTCTGCCTGTCGTCAGGCAAAAAGGGACGGTGTCATGCGGCTGGTACGTGCCGCACGGTATGAGAGCGGCTAGCCGGCTGGAAGCATATGAATAAAGATAAAGCCCATCTCTACTTATCAAATCTTATCGATAGTCAGAATAGTTGAAGCTTCACTTCACAGCCTCTACATCGCATCGCATGCGTTTAAATAAGCAGTTCATGGCCAGCTATCTTAGCAGCTTTACTTTGCAGTCTGGCCTTCAAGAATCCCAAAATGGATCCAGATTTTTCTCCACCCTTCAGTGATTTCCCCTCTCAATTCCAGGTGTACATCCCATCCAGCCGTTTGCAAACAGTACAACTTGTTTGCAATTCCTAGTTTTATATTCCTTCGTGATCTTGGCCGTTGACCACCACCATTCAAAGTTCAGTGATCTTTCAGCGAAAGAACCGTGCTAACTCGTCATAGCCCAGAAAGTTCTTAAATCATCATGTCCCACAAAATTTGGTGATCTTCAACCCCAAAAAAACATCAAAAAACTGATGGGGTTGTCTCAAATCCCTGCAATCCAATGGTTTGAAAAGTAATGTCCCTCTTTTCAAAGTCTCCCAAGATTGCGGGTCCGTTGGTACCTTAATTTTGTCCCACCCCAACTGCACATCTATCCATATGCGCAACTTGACATGGAATCTAACAGAATTGGCGTTGAACATTATGTGAGATGGGTATCCAACCAAGAATTGAGCGGGGTCAGCCGCCACATAAACCAACAATCCATGAGCGGATACAGAGATCGTTTGTCCTGGGGAAGGCGTCCAACATTTCCAGGGGAACCAAGTGTTTTCCCCTATTTTCCCAAATCTTTTGCATGTGTTCCCCCCCAAAAAAAAACATGGCTGAAAGTGTTCCCTAGTTTATCCATAGTATGCTGTTTTTTTTCGCACATCAAAATCTGGCCGTTCACCGCTCCGGTTGTCCCCAAGGTACAAGGCGCGCAGCTCGCTCTCCCGTTCTTCCAAGGTCTCGAGGAGTCGCGCGGATGTCCCCTGGAGTCGCTTCCAGTGAAGCCAGCAGCTCTGAACCTCCAAGGCCCAGTCCAACTTGTCCGTCATCAACCTGCCCGGCTAAGGCTTGGGGTCACAGATTTGTAAAAAGGGAATGTACTTCAAAGTATTTTCAAGAGGGGTGGATGTCTGTACACATGTCATATATATATATATATACATCTGATATATCATATATGTGTGTATATATGTGTGTGTATGTGTATATATACATATATATATGTGTGTGTGTGTCTGTATATACATGTATGTAATTGTGTGTGTGTAATTCTGTGCGTGTGCATGTAAGTATCTGCATGCATACGCACATATCATTACCCAACAGGGGGGATTTCTGTTGCATCATGAAGACATGGCAGCGTTCACCTATCAAGAAAAGGGTACCCACACCACAAAGACCAGAATTTGACCAAAGAAAGACCGGAACATGCGCCAAACTGCTGGCGGCGAAGACCTCTCAGAAATCCTGGTTGGGTATTGCATCTGTTCATTTTAGGTGCCTTTGGCGAATGTTTTGAGGAGTGGGACTACCAAACTGGTTAGTGCTTAAGCATCTTGAGCATCTCGACCACGACCCCCATGAAGACTATTAAATTAGCCAATTAGAGGATCATCCTTTTTTGCTGCATGGAACGGATTCAGAATGGGTGGCAGTTGGGGCTGCCCAGAACCATTTGGTTTCCTCATTTTTTCCCGCAACGAAGAACTTTCATGAAATTGGAGGGCAACCAGTCGCCACCACACCCACTAATTTGCATCCAGAAAGGAAGTTGACTTTTAAGTTGCCCCCTGGTAAACTAACATAGCTATGGAAATCATCAGTCTTTTTTCGGTAAATCACCGAACTAAATGGGCCCTGGATTCCCATGCTAAATAAGCACAGGGTAACCACCATTTCAAAAAAAAGATGCTGTGGATGGGCCAGCGAAATCCTGCACCAGTTGATAGGCGGTAAACATCCCATTATTCATACAATGTGAGGCCCCCAAGATACCTAAGTTGGTTTATAACTCCAATAACTATGGTTTATGGTACTTATAACTATAGTTACTGGGGCAAATCTAAACCAACAAACATCACTGGGGGGGGTCACATTGTAGGGTTTTTGAACCATCCAAGGTGGTGCAGAATTTCTTCCACCCACAGTGTCACGCCATGTCACGCCACCAGCCAGACTCCAACGCCTCATGAGTTTGCTGTCGCTGTTGCTCTCGATGATGGGTTTCACATCCTAACGATGGGCTGAAACACCCAGCTGAATGCCATGAAAAATCATGAAAATAGGTGTTTTTCACTGAGAAATGTTGGATTTGACTCTGACTATTCTGATGTAGAATCTGGATTTAGCATGATTTAGCTGATAAAAATGGAGGTTTGAATAGTTTGAATTGTCAATAGATTGGTTCAAGGCAACATAGCAAGCGAAAATCTACTGTATATATCATGCTGCAATCTGTTGCGAACATTTGTTCGGTTCCTTATGTTTCCACCAGTTGCATTTTCCAGCGACAGCGATCGCCGGCCTCCCAGCAGACCTCATGAAGCCCTTGCTCGATGATGAGCCCTGCCATCTCAGCACACTGCTCCAGCCACTTCTCGTGAAAAGGGATAGGGATCCTTGGACATCACTGAGGGATATGCCCACTTGATGAAGTAAACATCTATTTCCAAAAAACATGGTTGCTCCCAGCACCCCGGATATCAGGCCTGCCTTGTGGCGATCATGCTTCTCTATGTTGGAGCAACCCCGAGATCTTGTAATGTTTAACCCGCAATTTGTAGATAATGGCTGTATACAGTTAGTCGTGATATAAGTATGTGTATATGTATTTATGTGTATGTGTATTTATGTGTATGTGTATGTGTATGTGTGTATGTGTGTATGTGTGTATGCGTGTATGCGTGTATATATAATACATATATGCATGCATGCATGCATGCATGCATTATATGCACTAATTCATTACATATATATATATGTATGTATGTGTGTGTGTGTCATATGTATATATATACATATATATCATATGTGTATATATATATATATTATGTATAATATATATGTATATATTGTATATACACACACTCATCCTCAAGTAGATAGAATAAGAGAATTCTTCGCCGAGGCGCGCTTCAGCAAAGGGATCCCAGTGGCGCTGCACGGCTTCGGCGGCAGCACGCAGAGCCACCACGTCCTCCAGGGAAGCCCAAGGGCGGCCCAGCGGCCGGTTGGGTCATGAAATTCATAATGGTTAATGACAACCCCAGGATGGTGCCCCCCAGTTATAAGTTGGTTTATAAACCCCATTAACTATAGTTATATCTGCCATAAACCATAGCTATGGGACTTATAAACCAACTTAGCTAACTATGGGGCACCACCTTGCCTGGATTAATAAACCCTTAGACTGTTTAATTGGGGGGGTACCATTTAAGTATCACAATATGACTATTGGCGAAGTACCCCCTATTTTTTCTAAACTATGGTTTATTAATCCGGGGTTGACATTAATGATAGTTTATAGCAATCATGGTGATCAGTACTGGGTTAATAGTAATAATAGTGATTAGTAATTATTAGTATTATTAGTAATGATAGTTAGTAATGATAGTTAGTAATGGTTAGTAAGAATAGTGATTATATGGGTTCATAATGGGTTAATATGGGTTAATAATACGGGTTAATCATTGATAATAGGTTAATATGGGTTAATAATGGCTGATAATGATTGTCTAATGATAATAATCATTGATAATGATCAATTCTCGTGAATCATCATATGGGTGAACTCATAGGAATTCATAATCAAGAATACTTAATAATGGTGAATCATTGATAATAATGGATACTGAATGGAATAGTTAATGGGATTTACCAAGAACTGGATGGTTGATGATGGTTTTTCTGGGATTATAATGGGAATAATGGTGGCACCATAACCATCAATCATGGGATTTTCCCAGCGAACTGAACCTCCATGGCTAGTTCGGGGATTTTCCAGCCACGTTTGAGGACGCCGGAGGGTATATAGATCATCTATAAAGTTTCCATCATCTGGATAAATCATCTTTAAAATCTGGACGAATCACATCAAAAAAATAGTAAAATAAAATGAAAATGCAAAATAACAATTAAAATTGCCAGCTGGTGAACTAACTTTTCGGGCATGACCACATAACTAGGAGAAGAAAACAACCATTCTGGATTTTTTGGAACGGGAGCCATACGGTACAGTAGCACCAGGATTTGACATAGAAAAATTGGGGATTTCACCATCAAGTTAGTTTCATGTTTCATATGTTTTTTCGTGTATCATTAATGTGATCATAGCTGAAAATCAGTCAAATCCATTAATAGTGTTTCATGTTTCATATGTATATACATATATATATATATAGATTTAGATATGTATAGTGTACTGCAAATCACAAATTGCACCCGTCTGTGTGGACTACCCTCTGGTAATTTAACATAGCTATGGAAAATCACCATTTTTAATGGGAAAATCCACTATTTCTATGGCCATTTTCAATAGCTTTTTGTATGTTTACCAGAGGGTAATCTCACTGATGCTGAACACACAAAAAAAAAAAGAAATCCAACCCCTGCGCTGCGGTTCCTTCAAGGCCAACAACAACTTCGAGTTGAAGAACACATGGGCGTTCCAGTACAGCACATCTTGATCCAAATCCATGCGCGACAGTCTTCAAGCCATGGCACGGCGGAAAGAGGCAATAGATGGATAAATATATTTTTATACATGTATATATATATATATATATTCATAAATCTATAATGATCTATATAATTTTATATACATATGCGCTCAGAAAACAGAAGGTATCGTTATACAGACATATACAGACTATACATTACATGTTACACGTTACAAACGAGACATCAAACCATCCTCAAGCTTTGTGATAAGCCAGCATCTCTGCCTGTGTCTTTTGGACAAAGCATGACAAGGCAACAAAAGTTCAAGTCCTCCCAAAAGTTGTTCAAAGACGAGAATGAAAACGAGAACCCGACAACTCATGGCAGCAACATGTCAAAGTCTAACATAAGTTGTCATTCATAAAACTGTGGAAAGCAATTCATTTGTTTTTCTAAAACTTCTTCGTAAGGTACAACTTTCATGTAACCAATTAAACAAGCCATCATAGTGTCCTTCATTCTTTTCCCTTAGGGCCAGTTGAGTTCCACAACCCAGGTGCCCTTTGAGCCAAAGGCAACCAAGATAGAAAAGTTAAATCCTACTATTTTTTTTCTATTTGTTTAGAAGTTACCGTTACGCGATTATCTATCATGTGTGTAATAGCTATTATATCCCAAGACTAGCTCTTATACTTCTGGAAATACAACTGTCTGTCTTTCTGTCTATCTCTCTCTCTCTCTGCCTGGCCATATGATTGTTGCTTCAGGATTACCCCATATATGAAATGGAAAATAAGAGTCATGTTCCAAACCACCAACCAGTGATTGTTGCTTCCGCAGCAACTTTTTCCCAACCGCTGCAAGGACCAAATCATCCAGCGGATGGCCAGGCTGGCGCCGCAGCCGCAGGCGCCATCTGTGGCGCTTGCGCCTGCCTGGGAAACTGTGGGGCTCAAAGCCGTCCAGAAACTTGGCGGGCATGTGTGCGTGTAAAAGATAGTATGTATATATATATATATACATAGTACATATGTATATATATATAATGTAATATAATCTCTATATATATATAGTAATCCCCAAAATAAAGATGGGAAAGTGTTTCCAGGATGGTGCAAATGATGCTTACCCAAAGTAATTCTAGGTTTTCAACTTTTGGCTCTGTTTGGGGGTTGCTACATGCCTAACGGCTGCCAAGCTGCTGATCTGCCCAGCCGGCCTGATATCCTTCTGGGTAGGCCGGGTAACTTTGGTAGGCCTCGCCCTGGTAACCTTGGGTCTCCCCAGGATAGCCTTGGTAGCCTTGATAGCCCTGGTAGCTCTCCTGGTGGTAGGAATGGGACACCTCCGGCTCATAGGCTTGTAAGGCATCTCCACCTTGGCTTGCTATGGCTATGGGAAATCACCATTTGTAGTAGGTAATCATCTGTGAATGGACAATTTTCCATAGCAAACTATTATTTTACTGGAGGGTACCCGTGTTTGCCGGCAAGCCATGTTTGCTCATTGTCTAATGATGTTCCCCAAAATAATGCTTTAGGTTCCAGAAAAGGGGCTGCCCATTGGGACATCCAAATGGCTATATATAGATCAATTTTCAAATCGAAATGACTGGCACAGCTGAATAGATACCATCTGGTTATTTAACATAGCCATGGAAAATGGCCCATTTATGTTTACCGATTAAAAATGGTGAATTTCCATGGCTATGGTAAATAACCAGATGGTAAGAGTCACAATAAGTCCCTTGATCCAAATTGAGATCTTGTCTTTTTCGGTCTCGACCCCAAGTTTCGACCATTCCGACTTGCTGATGGTTGCTGGTGCCATGCCCAATTTTTTCCGCTTAAGATCCCATGTTTAATGGATAAGTTTCCATCAAACTCCCCACCGTCATCTCCGAAAAAACATCTGTGGAACAGATGTTAACATCGCCCCATCCCTACGGGTTTGTCCTGTATCATCGACCCTGGGGCCTTAAAGGGGCTAACACAAACACTCCATGGCTTTCCCTGGTGTTTTGCTGGGATCATCGTACGAAATGTGGGATTCTCCAGCCCTGTTTGATTGCCGCCTACCGGGTAAACCATCTAGAAATCCCCATTCTATCCATTTGATTCTCATGAAGTTCCATTAGTCATCCCAATGTTCATCCCTGGTAAACCATAAGTAACTAGAGATATACTGAGATATACCATACCCTCTGGTAAACTAGCATAACTATGGAAAATCACAATTTTTAATTGGAAAATCAACTATAAATGGCCATTTTCAATAGCTATGTCAGTTTACCAGAGGGTAAATCACAAACGTTATTGGAGTTATGTTGGCCCACGGTGGAAACCGACCCACCAAGGGCCCTTGGGTCACTGCAACGTGCTGCACAGCCGCCCACTTCGGTGGCGGCTTTGGGTTTCCGCAGGAAGTACCACGTCAGGGCCAAGCCGATGATTAACGCCACGCCCACAGCCACCACGATGATCACCTCGTGACCAAAACTGCCAAAATGCTGGGAAAATCAATGAACATATAGGAAAAATGCTAGGGAAATTTGGGAACATGTGGGAAAATGATGGGGAAATGTGGGAAAATGGAAAAATACTTGGGGAGGGTGGGAAATGTCTTATTTTTTGGCGGATGGAAACAGTATTTGAGAATTCTGGATCAGGAACACCTCACCTGAAAATTGTGTTCTCCAGGCTGGTCACCCCTTGAAAAAATGCAACAGGCTGAGAAGACGTGAGAGACTGTCTACGATTAAGGTCTGCCTGGTCGTTGCTGGAAACTGTGATATGAAGGGCTGGGAACGGTATAACAGGGTTATACGCACATAGAATCACATAGATACTACAGATACAAGTCAGGAAAAACATATGCACCAATGCATCCACAATCTACCCTCTGGTAATTTAACATAGCTATTGAAAATCACCATTTTCAATGGGTAAATCCACTATTTCTATGGTCATTTTCAATAGCTATGTTAAATTACCCACAGGACGAGGGGTTGTCCCGAAGGGACAACCCCTCGTCCTATGAGGGTATGGCCCGGAGGGCCATACCCGAGAGCGGAGCTAGCAACCCATTGGTTCCATCATGTTCCATCATTCCAGTGCCAGGGGATTTCCTTGTCATAACATTTCCTTGTCATAATCTCCCGGCCCCATGGAACATATACGCATACCTCTATTAGGGGTTTCATTTAGGGCATAACATAAGTTATAAAATCCCCCGGCCCCATGGAACATATACGCATACTTCTATTAGGTGTTTCATTTAGGGTTTACATAAGTTATAAAATCCGGACTCGCCAAAAAAGTCGGAAAGATTGAAAAAGTGGAAATGGCCGAAACGCGTGAAGTCCGCAGAGGGTTCACTTTTCTGACTGATTTTTCCAAAAATTCGTCTTAGACCACGCTAACTCACAGATGTACCAGAGTCATAAAACACTGCACCTGCGCAGAGAAATGAGCCTCCCACTGACGTTCATACGACCATTCCGGGACAACCCTCAGTCCTGCCCGTTAAATTACCAGAGGGTACATCATTTGGGTGTCATTTTACACGATCCCCAACAGACCTATGTACACCCAATGGAGTCCACCGGCGTTTTTGCCGGGCGCCTACCGTTTTTTGGGTAAAACCGGGTAAAATGCAAAACAGCTCCTGATCCATTCTAAATATGTGGTAATTTATGGATTTTGATGGTCTATATTGGGATGATATAATTTTATCACTACCCTCCGGTAATTTAACAGTTTGCTATTGAAAATGACCCAGTCGAAATAGTGGATTTTCCCATTGAAAATGGTGGATCTTTCCATAGTTATGTAAACGTTTACCAGAGGGTAATTTTATCACTACCCTCTGGTAAACTAACATAGCTATGGAAAATCTGGGAAAATCCACTATAAATGACCATTTTCAATAGCTATTTTGACATAACCAGAGGGTACCCCTTTATGGCTGAAACCTTGATATAGCCCAGTGACCGTCTTCTCCGAGCCCTTGGAGGAATGCTGCCGACCTCGGAGATCCATAGGCTGGACGTCCCTTTAGACGTCCCACAACGTTTTTAGCACGCGGACCGGACGGAAAGTCCATGGGAAAAATCTACACCTAAAGAACAGGTTGGAAATAATATATACAGATATATAGTATGTTGATATCCATCCATAATTACAGTATAGTTATGTGGATATCAACATACTATATATCTGTATATATTACCCTCTGGTAAATTAACATAGACCCTGCCAGTTAGATAGGGGTTGGAAGATGAATGTGTCCATTAAAAACTGGTGATTCTCAGGGTCAACAAGTTTATTTACCAGAGGGTAATATATACAGATATGTAGTATGTTGATATCCATCCACATGGTATATTACAGTAATATCACATATCCATGTTTAATCTATATCTATATATACTATATACTATATACATATACGCATAATGTGGTATACCCAATGATAAATCTACCATGACTGGGGATGGTAAGCATAGCAACCGTAAAAATGGTGATGACTTGGGGCTGGTTGAGCATTGGATTTCCAACATTATATAGTATGTTATGGTATGTTTATATACTCATCACGGCTTGTCACATCTAGTTTAATATCCCAGAAGTGTTCCACAGGAAAAGATCCATGGCGAGTTATGAGCATTGGGTGCGAAGCAGATCGCTGACAACATCAGTGCTTGAGATTCCAATAAATAAATTCTACAGAGTAATTGTCTTGGAGGTCATATCAGCTAAAGAAGGGGGTTCCTCACATGCCCCTTCAGGGCATGCGATGTGCCACATTTTTGCGGCATTGAAGCCGTCATAGGAAGAGTTGCCAGGCTGTCTTGGAAAGATCTGTTTTGGTGTGCTTTAAGATGCTTTAAGCACTGGAGGTCTGCCGGATTTATCAAACGGTGACCGCGCAGGATCTGGACAAAGCGCGTTACATAGTCCCACCATGATGTCGACAGCATTTTGAGGATATTGATACCGTCTGTGTTTGGCAATGCCTTGAAAATGGCTGATTTCCAAGTCGTTGTGTCTTTTCCGCTCTCGGCGAACTAGGATTTGGGATCCGATGGCAATCAGCACAGGTCACCTGCACAGGTGGCTGAGTTATGCTGAGTTGGGCACTGCCAAAGGACCCACAAGTCTTCGGCGTGAAAATCAGCGGCGCGGTGCTGTCCGACAACTCCTTCGAGAAGACCTGCTGCAAGGTGAAACCGAAGGAGGGATCCGCCAACAAAATGGGATCCTGGAAAAAAAATATATATATATACATATATTTATTTATTTATTTGTTTATCTAGTTATTTATTTACTTATTTATCTATTTATTTATTTATTTAGTCAGTTAGTTAGTTATTCTAAAAACAAACTGTTCGATAAAAAATTCAGGACCCTAAAATGGAGGGACTGTACCATATAAGGATATGATGTGTCTGTGTAGGGGGGGGAATTGCCTTACATAGGCCTTGCATGGGTGGGTAGAATCATAAGATACAACGATGTCCAACAAATACAACAAATACAATTAGCTGAAGGGTCAGCTAGCAGTTCAATACCATTTGCCCTTCTTGGTTTTGGAAAATGAGAGGTTCCCCGGTTCCCTTCTGTTCATCAAGCACCCAGTGGGAAAGGCGGAAAGGCCACCCTGGGCTGCGCAACCAACCAGCATAAAGAGAACCAATGCCAGAGCTACCTTGCGATTTCCATTTCAAAATTTAATTTTTTCAGATTTTCAGGATATGAAAAGTTAATAAAAGTTCCTGTGAAAAATTGGTCAGGAAATGGTTCCATCAAAAAAATAATAAAGCGCTAGAAATTGAGCCGTTCCCCCCCCATTGACCAAGGTTTACTCATCTGTGACCGCTCTGGTTACCTGGTTGGACCCTCCACCATCCCAGCCTTCTCGTGCATGAACCTTGGCCATAGGGCTGATATGAAGGGTTATCGTTTTAAAATGTGTATGTAGATATATATATATACATATATATACTATTCATAGTATTCCTTTGCCCATCATTTGGACTTGTGAATTGGTTCATATTCTTGTTTTGCGGAAAACACGTGTATATATATATACACATATATGTAGAATATATATGTGTGTGTGTGTGTGTGCTGTATGCTATAAATATATATATATATGTGCGTGCATATAACATATGTATGTAAAATACATATGTATATATATATATACTATTCACAGTACTCCTTTGCCCATCATTTGGACTTGTGAATTGGTTCATATTCTTGTTTTGCGAAGAACACGTATATATATATATATATATATGTGTGTGTGCTGTATGCTATATATATATATATACATGTGTGTGTGCATAAAACATATGTATGTAAAATATATATATATACAGTACTATTCATATAGTATTCCTTTGCCCATCATTTGGACTTGTGAATTGGTTCATCTTCTTGTTTTGCGAAAAACACGTGTATATATATATATATGTGTGTGTAAGATACATATTTAAATATATATATATATATTATATATATTATATATATTATATATTATATATTATATATTATATATGTGTAAGATATGTATATCTCACATGTCAGTTCATACAAGTCACAAAATCTACCACAGCGTGGTGCCAGCTATGGCTTCATAGCTCTATATAATGTAAAGTTGGAAATCTGGAAACTATGAGAGGAAGCACAATCCATGACATCCTGGAAACCTTCCAGCAAGTTTTCACCGTTTGACCTATCACTGTGAAGAATTTTTTGCCTCCCACCAGATCATCAACCAGATCTTCAACCAGGTTTCATCCCGGGGGTGCAGAGTTTTCCGAACCTCAAATGGCCATTCGGGGTCGGTATGTTCCATTTTTGGGCATACCCATATCCAAAACCCGAGTCTCTTTATATTTATATATATATAGTTATAAAATCAAAAATAGGCTTAGTTCAAGTTCATTCCCCGAATTCACAAACCAGTTTTTATGGATATGTGTTTTTGCCACATATATATATATATATAATTATATATATATATATGTATGTGTGTGTAAAACATGCGTAATCTATTTTCATCACCAGAACTTGGAGACATCTCCCGGTGCTGGGCCACTGAAAGAATCGCTTGGCGTAGCTGTCTGCGGGCTGCGCGGACACTTGACGTGCAAAGCCTAGGGCCGATTCGGAGATCGCCAGAAACACCGAAAAAACCGGGGAAATCTTCGATTCCATGGAGAACTTGATGGGGTAACCTATCGGTGTTTTCTATGGAATTACTTTTTTGTTTAAAAAAAAGTATAAATAATGGTAGGTGTGTGTATTCTTCAAAAAAATATGCTACTGTTTTAATTTTATGAAAGTTCCATTGGCTGGATCTTTTGGGAAAATCGACAGGAAAGCACGGTTTTCACCGGTCGTAGGGGCGTCCGGTATTTGGAAGTCAAGTCCACGTGGAGATCAATATGAGACTATCTCATGGAACGTTGTGAACGTGTGAAATGTGTGAAACCCCAGTGAATTTGGAAGTGTTCTTCTGTTCAATTCGAATTTCTTCACGTCTTCTACAGAAGTGATTGGGATATATTGGCATCATCACCCCATTTTCAGGGGAAACGCACCCTGCAGGCGCGGTCTTCCATGATTTGAAGCATGTCAAAGCGGGCAAACACGAACCTTACTTTGCATATGTAAACCAGTCCTAGCTGAACGTAGCAACATGCAAAAATATACATAAACAATGCACAAAGATCACAAAGGTATTTTCGCATCTTTCTTCGCCATGGTATCAACCGGCTCGGCATCGTTTTACAACGACGGATCAATGGCGCCGGTTGAGACTCCGGTCCTGCTTTGGCACCATACTCCAACTTGCTCTTCATGTCATAAGGTCTCAGTCGGCCAGGTTGGCCCTTGGAAGGGATACAAAAATCTAGGATACAAATATCTCCAAGAGATAAGGCTTTCTAGGGCCAAAACCGGAAAGGTAAGTTGTTAGGATATGTAAGGATCCAGAATCACAAGCTTTGTTGACCCATGCGACTTGAGACTTGAGACCCTAAAAATGATGTTCGGCTCGTTCAATTTTGGGGCACGCAAGGGGCTGCAATAGACAGGCAGATATATATAAATGCGGTAGATAGATAGATGGATAGATAGATGGATGGATAGATAGCTAGATGGATACTGAAGGTCGAATAGAATGGAAAGGAGAGGGAATAGAATGGAATGGAATATGAATAGGATAGGAATAGGAGTAGGAATCGGAATAAGAATAGAATAGATATACTGTAGATGTCATTAGATAAGATTAGGCTGGATTAGATTAGGTTGGATTTGATTTGACTTGACACATAGACACAACAAATATGTCGAGTTCGGCTGGCTTGGATTGGATTGGATCTGATCAAAGCAGATCAAATCAGCTTCAATTAGATTAATAGCTTGATTATAAGATAAGATCAGATCAAATCAAATAAGACTAAGATTAGATAAGATAAGACCCTTATGATAAAATATGATTGAATCGATAGATACTGCGGATATCCGCAACTTGAAGAAATATCGCGTTCCGGATTTCTTCGTGCGAACGGTCCCTGTTCCGTCCCAGGCACTTCAAGAGGTCGATGATTCCGAAGCACTGGAAGTAGACCTTGAGGCCCTGAGTGAAGCCACCCACACCTCGGCAGAGATGAGATCGAACGATCGAACTCAAGGAGAGATGGTGTATGCGAAATGATGAAAATTGATGAAATATATACTAAATGGGATGTAAAATTGCAAAAACATGATGATATAAATGTGGTGATATTATCTGGTATACTACTAAGTAAGTTACTACTATGGATATCAACGGGAGATTTTGCCTTGGGAATCAACCAATTGGCAATGTCAATCAACATCTGGATGGATTCATGACCAATCCTATAGAAGCTGCCACTAAAATTGGCTGGTAAGACTAGATTCCATTACAAGGTTGCTCCCAATAAGCCGGAAAAACAGGGAAAAACCGGGTCAGTAAAGTTGTAAAATGACTGTTCCTCTTGTCATTGTGGCTACTATTAATGATGGGTTGGAGTAACACTGTTATGACAAAAAAAAGTGAAGCCGTTACCAAACAAAAGGTTGGGTAACCTGTCCCATGCGCCAAGTGACACGTATGACCGAGTTCCCTGTGTTTCAAAGAGTTCTCGGCACAATAAAAGTCCTGCGGCTGTGGTGGTTGGTGGGGCACATTTTGCCCGGAATAGAACATGAGTGCGCACACATGGGGGCACAAATCACCAATGGAACTGTTGAACAGGCATTTAAGCTGCATTTCGCTGGACCATAGGGGGTGCCTTTCACTTTGAGAAAGCCCCAGCTAAGAGGAAACTCGCTTAGCAGTCGGGATCTTGGAGTAAGTGCAAGCAGTACAATGCAGTACATGGTGATGTTTGAGATGAAACATCAGCCAAAATGTCCAAAATCGGTGCTTTGTCTGGTCTTAGATCAAATAACAAGCCTCGAGGCATCCTGTAGAGTCAAGGGCCAGAATGGATGATCAACTTTGAGCCATATCTTTCTGTCAAGACTAAGGGTATGTCAAGAAACTACCTACTACCCTATATATATATATACATATGCATATACATATATAATATATACATATATAATATATACATATATACATATATGTGTGTATCTATATACATATAGATATAGTCTTATAGTGTGCGTGTGTGTGTGTATGTGTACATGAGCGTAAATTGCAGATCTATCCCCTGAGCACTTCACAAAAACGCCCTCCTTGATCTCAGTGAAGTAGTCACCCAGGTTGTATCCAGCCTCACCGCATCCTCCCTGCGGATGACAAATGGGCGATATGCACCTGGCTCGGTGACAAAGGACATCTTGGGGAACCCTAAGGTCCTCAGCATTTCTCAAATCAGGGCAATTGGGGTCTGTGGGGTGGGTTTTGGATGGAAAATCCTCATTGCGGAAGGATTTTCAAAATTAATCTACCACCCTTTTACCAAAAACTGACGCTGATCGCTCCTGTCGTTCCACCAAGCTGGCGAGTGGTCGAGCAAAGCCTTTGAAAATCCTCCAAAATAGGGTGAGAAAATCCAAAACATATGGGTGAAATTGGCTACAGCAAAATCATCCAAAATCCAATGGAGTTACTTTGATGTGTACCCCATCTCTGAACAACCCACTTTTGAAACCACCGCAGAGCACTTGAGGTCCCCATGGCATTTGTTCCTTCACCAGCAGAATCAATCTTGGATACCCCGCAATCCTCCAAGCTGATCAGTATATACTTCCACCAAAATGGACCAAAATGGCCAAGCTGTGTCAAACTCATAAAGAACTCAAAAAATGAACCCATCTATATGTATACCATCTATCATCTGTAGAGCCCTATGGTCAATGATTGAAGTATCATAGTTCTCATAGTCTTACCCAACTCACCAGTCGATTTACCAAGCTGCGCAGGCTGGTTTTGTCCATCACAGGGCTCCAACTCGTAGACCAAGACCCCGACGATCAACGAGTAGTCAATCAGGTTGGAGCGAGCCAACATGGAGCTATCCTTGGAATGCCACCCACGGCCACGGAGAAACCTACGTTGGCTGTGAAACCTGGAAACGGTCCATCGGCTGGGGGGATGTTCCGCGCGGAAATTCACGGCTTTTCTATGCGGAAGGTGTGTGAACCAGTGTTCAGTTCTGAGAAGTGCAGCAAGTTTCCGCATACCAGGCCGAACTACGTAGGCATTGCGGCATGAATAGACTTGACTGGCCCCAGTTTTGGGGGGGGCAAAGCCAGCATGGGATGGGGTCAACTGGGTAGTAAAGAGCATCCCCTGGAATCTTGGGCAGAACGTCCACATTCCAATCGCTGACTAGCTTGGCATGTGGTTGACAATGAAGATGCGGTGAGTTCACCATTCCAAATGATCCCCGGTTCACCGGGGCATTCTTTCCCAAAAACCTATGAGTCATTTTTGAGTCATTCGGAATCATCATCCCAAATGAAGAATGTGACAGAAAAAGACACAACATCTTGGAACAGGGGATGAACTTCGGCGTGCTCCCACACCCTGACGCCAGGTCGCACTTTCCAGCGCTTGCAGCAGCGCGTTCCTTTGTCCCGGGGGAACGGCCAAGACCTTTCCCTGGGCCAACCAATCTTTGTCCTTGCAAGGGGCCACTACGTTTGGTGTAGAAAATGCTGTGCTCCCCGTCCCAGGATTCCCAGGGTTCCTTTCTCACCGGAACTCAGCTTCTTTCCAGTCTACTTACGGCTTACGGCATCTTACGGCACTGCTTTCCAAATTTTCCAAGCAAATAACATCCAACGCGTCAGATGGGGAGGATATGGATGGATATGGTAGGATTGTTGTGCGGTCCTTCTGCGCGCGTTTCTCAGTACCACTTTGCCTTCCCACCATGGAGCCCTTGAGGTCCCAAGTGATGGGGAAACGCATCTGGCAGTGGCGGTCATCCAAGGTCTGCTGGCCAATGCCATCCACAAAAATCATCAACTTACCCTCTGGTGAACATACAAAAAGCTATGGAAAATGGCCATAGAAATAGTGGATTTTCCCATGAAAAATGGTGATAATTTTCCATTGCTATGTTAAATTACCAGAGGGTATCTGAAATCATAGAACATTCTGAGGAGTTTCCCCTGCATGGTTTGTTTCGAAGTGAGTGAGCACCCTTTTTTGCACAAAACAATTGGGACAAGTTTCGTAAAAATTCGTAAACCCGTACATTCAAGGGGGACCGAAATTTGAGACAACCCCACAGGAAGGGCCCCAGTTACAAGTGTGTTTACAACCCCATCCAAGTATTCCAAGCATAGATGTATGATATATCCAGCACAAGTCCTAGCTTAAGATAAATCTGCTATACATCCCATGTTTTTGTCTTGAAGTCCCAGTTCTTTCCAAGCTGCCGGTAGCCAGTTGTTGCCAATGAGCCACATTCCGTGCTCCGGATCCTGTGGTTTCATGGTGGTACCATCATCCCCATCGTTGATTTGGGAAATTTTGTTGGGTAAAACATCATAAAGCCTTGCAGGTGGTAGGCGAATGGAATCTGCACCGTAAAGCTCTACAGCAGTCGTAATCTCACGTAATCAAGATTAACCTTCTGTCCGGATAATTACAACAGATTCTCCCAAGCAGCTACTCCATCACATGTTCCCTGACAAGCCCAATAGCGAACCGTATCTTTCAGATATCCCAATTTATCGCAAGACAGAAGAAGCCTTTCAGGATCTTTCAGGATCTTTCAGGATCTTTCAGGTACATCCTCCAACTCGCTGCAAGTTTCTTGCCTCGACAATGGCATACAACCTCATCATCTCCGAGTTAGTGGCATGCCCCACGATGTGGTACGTGTACCTCAGCAACATGCTCGACAAGAAAGGAAAACAAGGCGCGCAATGCCGACATGTTGATGATGATGATGATGATGATGATGATGGTGGTGGTGGTGGTGATGATGATTAGGAGGAGGAGGAGGAGGAGCAGGTTTCCCATGGGAAATCGATGTCGTCGTGTTTACTGTCTCTAAGATGTTCGGATCATTTCTGGCCCTGACATTTGAGTCTGGTTCATCACAAGTCCCGTTGTGGTCGTCGTTTACTCCATGGTTTCAATGAACTAATGTCGGCGGTACATCACAACCTGCTGCAATAAATATATATAATAAATGGAAACATGGGTATTCCTGCGCACGTTTTATCCTCGCATGGATTTACCACATTAGTCCAAACATGTTTTTTTTTGTGGGGAAGAGTCGGAAACCATCCCCACATTCCTTCTTCAGGATGCGCATCGATCACACCTTTCAAGGCATTCAAATCCCGGGAGGACATGGTCTTGATGATGTACTTTTTGTCGTCACCTCAACGCCGAAGAGCAGGGTTTCTTGGCAGCAGGAAATGTCAGCAAGTCGCACCATGAAATCCCCATGAAAAACCACGATGTTTCTGTCAAGACCTGTGGCTGACACCCGGTGAAGTCACGGATTGCTCAATAAACATTACCGGTGCGAGTCCTTTGATCCAACCTCAGGGATATTCTATGCTCACCGACTGTAGGCCCCCTGATCTTCGGTACATGCGCAAATATATACATCTGCGCGTGTGCGGATATGTACACATTAAAATTTGGTATCGAAAACAACACCAATCCATTTATGCACACAGGTGCACAGTGGCATCGTAGTCAAAGACTACGACTCCACAGGTGTTGACGCAGTATAATAAGTATACAGTAGCTGCAAATAAGCATGCATAGTAGTTCAATTGTTTGCCACCTAAGTTTACATTCTTTATACATCCACTTGGGATCCACAAGCATGCCATTCGTGTCACAACCAAAACTTGTGAAAAGTGTCGCAAATCTGCCCCTCACAGTGCCACTGTATAACCCATGCGTGGACAGCATTTCTGTTAGGTGCCCCCACTGAAGATCATCTTGGCACCGCTTTTGCCCGCGCTCTCCCTTGGGCCACATTGATTTGAAAATGATGTGCCGATGATTTGTCACATTAAACTTACAAGTATCTGAATCTATCTAAATATATCCTCTCTCTCTCTATAAATGCCATAAATATATATCCTGGTCAGTGGTATTTTAATCCATCCCAAACATATGCGCGTCATCACAACCCATCATCCCTTGTGTACGGTTGAAAATAGTTGAAAAACAATAAATCTGCGAAACCCCAAACCAATATATAAACATCATGATTTTCCAGAGGATTCTTGGAATACCAGAGGGTACATGAGGGTACCAAGAATCCAGGGGCCAAGGCGCGTTGCAGCCGCAGATTTTGCTCAGGCTTGTCTCCAAATAGGAAGCAAGCCAAAATACAGCACAAAAAAAAATATTTACTTCATGATGTTTCTCATGAAGTTGAACTTCTTTAATACTTTTGTTGTTCCAAACCACGGTGTTTTCCAGCCATGGCCATCGATGGCACCCCGCCGAGGAAGCCTAGGCGCTCAGCGTGGGACAGGTCGATGTTGCTGCTCTTCAGGATCTCTTCTGGATCTGGCACCTCAGCAGCACTACAGGACTGCACTGCCAGAATTGGCTGATGTCATTTCAATATTGACTGAGCCATTTTTGGGAGGCTAATATTGTTTCAGGGTCAAAAAAAAACACGAATTCGTGGGGTTGGTTTACAGATTCATACCCTGAAAGTTCAGGAACGTCTAGCTCAATTCGGATCAATTCGGGAGGTATTCAGTCACGATCAGTCCTTAGGGATCACAGAGAAGTTTCCAGCCGCCATGTGTGGACTTTTTCCTGGCAGTTCACCTTGAACCTTCCAAGTCAATGTGAGTTTGTAAGTTTACTGGAGGTAGCATGACCACCGGGAGAATTTCTATGATTACGGACCACGGATATAGTTGTACTACATACGTATAATATGTGTATATGTGTATATTATATATAATTGTGTATATATATATGTGTGTGTGTAGTGAAAGAGAACCAAACCTGATCTGATCCAATGCCAACTCTGCATGTTTCATTCATCATGGCCAGGTACGCCAAAAGCCTCACGAATCTTGGACAATTGGGCGTCGCAGTGTAACAGGTGCCCCTGCGTTGCGGGGATGATCCAAAAATCGCTGGTTTCAATGGATTGGTTTAAGGGAAAATTTTAACCAGAAAGCCCCATATTTAATGGGAAAATCTATGGTTTCCTGGAGATACCAATCCATTGATGGTTGCCCCTCTTTTAGTGATGCTATCATGGTACTATATAAAATGGAACCCTGATAGAAATTCACCGACCAGGGGTCAACATGGCTGACATTACAGGTGTTCCAAGATCGCGAGGTATGTTTCACTCATTATATGCTTGCGGAAATTTCAGTTCTTACGGGATTCTCTCCGCCTGTAGCTGGGCTGTGGGTTTCCCAGTTGTGCCATCAAGCCAAAATCCAACACATTGGTGTTACCATCGCACATTCACCGTTTCCAATGAGTACGTGGTCAGCAAATGTCAGCAACCCTCCCTGCAAAGTCCCCCAAGTCGAGCAAACATCCAATCAATATCTAACAGAATCTAACACATGTTTGGCTATGTTTGGCTACAAAAAAATGGCCAATGGCCCAGTTGGCCTCATTCTGGTTGCTTACACCACCGTTTTTGAACCAACTCAAACGAACCAAAATCTGCCAAAATCTGCATCCAAATCCAGATCTGCCCAAACTCCGCCGCCTCTAGGCCCATGTTGGTGGCATGCCCACAGAGAGGCTTCCCGGTGCCATTGCCACGCGCTTCCAACGCGGAAACGGAGTGAAAGGCGTGTTGCCACCAGGCGTCTTGGGGCAGCAACTGGCCCACCTGTGGCCGTCCCCATAGACAACCAATGGCAAATGGTTCACCCGAAACCCGGAACGTGAGTGTTGTGAATCTGTTAATTTTTGGGAGTCCCACTTGGGTAAAAATATTCTTAAACTTAAACATACTTAAACGATCTTTAAATCATGGTTCTATTCTGGTTCCTGGACATGCGAGATAAAAATATGTGCAAAGAGACATGGTTAGTTTCCCACTGAAATATGGGATAAGACCGGGCATGGGAACCTGCCAATGAAAGTTATCAGAACTTATTATGTGACTGGACTCAGATGCACCAGTTTCCCAAAAATGATGGGACTTCAAAGGGCCCGTAGTCCCTTCCCAAAAAAAAACTTCCCAAAAAAAAAACGTCCAACATGGCAGGCGTATGGTAACCATGGGAATGGCATACCATGGGGCCCCAACCCTGGGGCGGCCAGGAGATCCCCCCAAAGGTTGACACCGGACCCAACGACACCCTGCGAGCCTCATCATCATCGTTGCGGATGGCTGCAATCCGTGCCAAGAAAAACACAAGACACCTTGGCGCCAGGCACAGACCAGGGACCTTAGGACCTCAGATAGAGAAATATAGTGTATGATATGATTTATGTATATACCCTCTGGTTAACAGTTCGCCATGGTTTTTCGATGGCCCATTTTAATAGATGGTTTACCTATTAATAGCATGGTGGATCTTTCCATGGCAGCTCCTGGGACCCAATGCTCCCGTCCAGAGGTCGATAGCCCGAAAGAAAAAACGTGTTTGAATGTGTGGCACATACATGTTGTTAGCACAAATCCATCACATCCCCTTGATGATTATATGAGTTTCTCTTGAAACTGGGGATACCCCCAATGTCCTGTATGAAAAATGAATGTCTGATGGAAGCTTTTGATCATATCGTAGAATCTGGTTCCCAAGTTTGCGTCTGTCCCTAATCCAAGAGGACCCCAACATTGGGTTGCTGGGTGAATAACCCCGAAAAGTCAGGGTTGATGGGGATTGAAATGGGATAACCGTATAACCTCAGCAGCAAGCTCTTGTTGATGTTACCTTTGGGGAGTTCCCCTCGATTTCCATGATATAAACACTCAGTTGGATCAGTTGGACATAATAAAATCGCCAAGAATTGGACAACTGGACCAGGAAAACTATAAAGAATGTCCTCGTACCAAAATTCCAAAACCTGCAGTTCTCGGTCTCTCAGACCTAGTTTAAGGGAAAATGGGACCATATTACATGAAAGCATCCTACATTTCATGGTAAACACTATCAAACTACAGTCTAAAAATCCATAAAATCCATCGAAAAACCAGTGGGTTTTCCCTGATTTTTTCCATGAAACCACCATCCACCCGACCCTGTTTTTTTCGCTCTTTGGCACCTCGATGCTAACATGGAGGAAGGGCCTCCGCCGAGCCCAGCAGTTAAAATCTGCGGTTTTAGATGGTTTTAGAAAGAAAAATGAGGATTTCCCCTGCAGAAAATCCATGAAAATCCTGATTCAACCCACAAAGACCTCAGATTTCGTCATCAATTAGGAATAAGTGGTGGTTTTTCCGATCAAAGCAGGGATTTCACGAAGAAAAATCGTCATTCAGCCATATTCAGCCAACAAAATAAGGGAGTTCAGAGTCAAAAATCTGCGTTGACAACGCAACAGGTGCCAAAATCTGTGCACGGCGGGCATCAGCCTGACATAGGTAGGCGCCCATGGACACGCCCCAGTCATCTGAGCAATTCAGACTGCAGCGGTGAATCTGGTGACTCCGAGTCCCAGGCTGGGAGAGGATCTGATTTTTTGGATGGGCTATGGGATCATATGGGATCATTCAATCACCCATATCAGGGGGTCTAATTTTGACTCATACCATCGAAAATATATCATGACTGGTGGCTTGTTCGAATGATGAAAAGCATGGCGGGTAGAACACCAAAAACCCTAGAAGATTGAATGTTCGAACCTTGAAAAGGCAAGTTCGACAACGAGAGAAAGCTCTCGTCAAAAACCTATTCTTCGGTTGGGTTCATGTGAAACCCAAACCTAGCACACACCGTCCTTGTTTTACCAGGCTCGTAGGTGTTTGATCGCAGCTCCCTTTTACGCACACGAGCGATGACCGAGTCAGTCCAAAACGCGATTGGGACAAAGATCAGTGAAACTCCTTGCGTCGGGCAAGTTGGGGTTGTTGCGTCGGGTTGTGGCGCTACCCCTCTTTCGAATTTGCATGAGCACTTTGCTGCCTTTGGAACAAGAGTGCTCCACAAACCCACCATCCGTGAACAGTTGCTCCTGAGCCACTTTTGCCTCATGAGCAGCATTGTCCTTGAATGTAAATTGTGAACATACATTGATCCCTCAATGCCGGTAAAATTGGACGCAAAAACTACTTCATCGGCAGCAAGGCAGCGGCTGCTGATGGGTTTGTTACTGGACATCAGGTCCTTGTCTTCCCAGTGCCGTTCTCTTGGGCTTCCCCAGAGCTAAGGGGGAACCTCAAACTCAAACTATCTCGGAAATCTCTGATATGTCTGATATTTCAGGAGCCTGAACGTCC